AAAACAATCAACAAACTACATCTAATTCTGAAAATACAGATCAAGAATTAAAATATACTTTCAAATATCTTCTTCGCTCTCTTGTTGGCTAATGTTCTGATTTTTTAACAAATTTTATTTATGAAGTAAATTCTGAAATAAGCTACAATATTGAAATTCCTTTTAATACTCTTTATTCGACTTTTACTACACTTCTTGGATCTTTCACTAAAATTTTGTTTACCAAACTTAACTACAAACAAATTTTCTGCTCTCATACTAATATTCACCATATACTATTCCAAATCATATTCGTATTGCTCTAAACTTTGCTTATCTTTACTTATATTTAAACTATTCTTATCAAACTATTAATTATGCATAATTTATTAAAAACTTAGACATCAAACCTATCTGCTTCCAACTTTGCTATATTTTTAATGAAGATCAACTAAACAAACCACTAGTTACTGTCAAAAATAACTACAAATTTAATATCTACGTTGACTTAAATATTCCTAAACAATATTTTTTAAATTCATACAAAATAGTTTCTCTTAAAGAATGTAACTATACTTTTGAAAAATGGTATAATTCATTCTTTGAAAACTATAGTTATCAATTCATCTTTATAGACAAAATCAAAACAAAAAACTATATTAAACACCAAATTTATCTTCAATTTTCATCCTATCGAAAAAAACTCCTTCCAGAATTTTTTGAATATTTTACTTCTTTATTACTACAGGAACATTCTAAACAATCTACTAAAGCAACTCACTTCTATCTTCATACTTGTGATTTCAATACTACTCAAACATGCCCATTAATTACTAATAAACAAAAATATAATTTTTCTACTATATCCAAAAATATCTTCAAAAACTCCTTTATTTGCTTCCCTGTTACCTCAAAAATGGATATCGATGATGATGACAAAAAACCTACTATTATTCACCCTACTCTTAACTGTGAAATATTTGATAAAAATCAAAAACATCAAGCTAGCTTCAAAATTCCAACACCAATTCCACTTTTTAATGAACTAGCCTGTTTAAGAAGCATGTTTGATCAGTTTATGACTCATATCTAATTTTGCTAGCTAAGAGCACTAGTGATACACTTCACTCTTTTTTTAAATAAACAAGTAGCTCAAAATTGGATGATGGAAGCAGCAGCTATTGTTGTGAAGCTTTTGTCAATATTCATTTTCTTTTGTGAATACTTTTAGTATTTGATTTTGTAGTTTCTTCATTATCATCATCTTTGTCGTCTTCTGAGTTCAGATTGTCTAGAGAATACTGGCAAAAGGTCAAAAGAGGTTCATATTCTTCTTCATTATCTTGCATTTGATTCTATGTTTTTTGAGGAGCAGAACTTGAAGCCAACATACTTGTCCTCATTTGTAGAAGACGTAATTAAGTTTTTTTTTTTGAAAAAAAAAAATTCAAACTTTAACACATTATTTTTTTATTTAAGTTCAAGTATGTTCTGTTTAATTCTTACACCAATAATTTATTTAAACTATCATTTTATGCAAGCGAAAGCATTAGACGATTATCAAGTTTACCTAAGCACACAATTTCGAATTAGCTTTGCATTCGTAACATATAGAAGTAGAAGATACTGCGAACTATAGGGGGCGATCTACATATTGCTTAATCAAAAATTTTAGTGTACAAATTACGGTTTAAGAGATACATAAAAATATATTTATTTATGGATCGCTTATTTAGAATTAAAAAATCCGAATATAAAAACCGGATATCTAACAAACATCCGTTTATATATCCGGATTAAGAAATTTAAATCAGGATATATATATCCGGTTTTATATCCGGATCCAAGCACTAAAAACACGAGCAAGGTTCAGCCGAAGTATTCCGAAGACAAAATTTTCAAAAAAATTTTTTTTATACCAGGTATACTATACTATACGTACTGTACGCGAAAAAAATTCAGGTGTCATATAAATGGCACATTACTAGCCCGATCACTTCACTTTAACGAAAGTGACTTGTATTACGTAAAAACCGCCGACAACTATTTCATCGACAAAGTATCTGGCTAACTCTAACCTTAAATCGGCTCAAAATTTCAGTTGTCAGCGAAATTGGTTAATACCGAACTTTTCGGAATTTACTATATTAAAAAAAGTTAATGATTGCTAGCTTTATACTACTCAACTTTTTGCAGCACTTTCAACTTTCGATAATTCTTTTGATATGATAACATTTATTACTTTGAATAAACCTTTCAGTTTTCAATTTTTGGATTTTCGACCCAATGGGTTAGGGTTAGAGTTATCAAAAGTATTTTGACATATCAAAATATTTTCAGCAAGCAGCCTTGTTAAATCAAGATAACAACCCTACTTTAAAGAAAGTAAAATATACATATTATCTATAATAGAGATGCAATAATTAATTAAAGCATATAGCCAGTTACAATAGTAATTTCAATCAAATAACTTACGAATCGTCCTATATTTATTAAAATGCAACTACAAAAAAGAGTATACAATATAATTTAGAGAAATAAATTGCGTCACTTTAATGATAATGATAATAATAATTAAAATATAAAAAAACTTTTGTATTAAATAAACCTTCACCCAATCAATCACAATCAATTACAATTTTAAACCCGATTTTTTTTTTTTTAAAAAAAAACACCAAACTGTTCACTCCAGTCAAGTACAATATTAAAAAAACACACAACTAAGTTTCATAAGTTTACAAATCTTAACCCGGCCGGGTTATGTAAACCAAAAAAAATTTTTTGTATGACCTAATTGTAGAATTGGTCTTCATTCCAGCCAATTACAATTCAAAAAAAAAAAAAAAATAACACCTAAGTCTTTCCCCAGAATTAAATCACCTAACTATTTAAAGTCTTCGCTCTAACCAATTACAATTTAAAAAACACTTCAGCAAATTACTTAATAAAAAAATACTAAACTATTTGAAGTCTTCACTCCAGCCAATTACAATTTTAAAAGAACCTACCTATTGTATGAAGTCTTCGCCCTATTAATTACTATTATAAATATATTCAGTTAACTAAGTCTTCTCCCCAACCAATTACTATTATAAATATATACAACTCGTCATATTAGTGAATATGTTTTGGTAAAACCGAATTCTTATAAAATAACTCGAAAATAATGTGTTACATGATTTTCATATAAACCGGAACTACCCCAGGAACAGCTTTTTTTTCTATCAACATTATTTCAAGTTGAGTTTAGAAATTCATATCCAATGAAATTTGTAAAATGAATGGAAAATTTCCGACCGCTTAAAACTACGCCGGAATCATGTCTTAATCAACCGGATATCTCGGTATTTTATAATAGATTTTGTGCATTGCCCAGAAATGGTACCGGCACGTCTAAAGCGGAGGTAACTCATATTATCCGACATCTTAATATGATCAGACTGCCAAATAACTTGGTTATTTGGCAAAATGACGTCACACTGCCAAATAACTAAGTTATTTGGCAGTCCGATCATAGTAAGACACCGTTATTAGGTGTTACATACCAATAACTTTGTTTAACTGACTTTCACATCCAATGACTACGTATATATTAAATTTTATACCTCGGACTTCCGGTTCCTAGTGTAACTCCAATTTAAGTACAACATATCGGACTTACTAATTTTGCTTCCATTTTCTGCAGCTCTTTTTCTAATCGGAGAATGAATAATGGGAACTGCAGAAATGCGTAAAGCAAAGGAGACACAACATATTCTTTTATAAACCTAATTGAAATCGTTTATACAACGATATATAAAACATGCACTTTGTTAATTTGAATTATAACACTACTTATTGTTCATCTTGACAAAGAATTTGGTATAACAAATAACTGAAGAAATTTATATATTTTTAAAACTTCTGAAGAAATTTATATATTTTTAAAACTTCTGAAAATTTTATATATTTTTAAAACCTCTGAAGATAAAATATTTGAAGTTAAAATAATATCTGAAGATACAACAATGTCTGATAAAATTATATCTGAAGATACAACAATGTCTGATAATATGATATCTGAAGATACAACAATTTCTGATAATATGATATCTGAAGATACAACAATGTCTGGAGTTAATGATAATATGATATCTGAAGAAAACAAAAAAAAAAGAAAATTAGACGGCAATAATGAACCACAAATTAGTGGCGACTATGACATAAATCCAACTGGCGTAACTGATAATGTTGTTGATGGTTTTCAAGTTGTTGGAGATGCAGTTCAACCATTTCTTCCACTTTTTTCATCCGTTTCAACTATTATTGATTCAATAATTCGTACTTATAAAAATGCAAAATGTAATCAAAAAATTTGTTTAGCATTAATTGATCGTGTAGAAATCGCTCAACAAGCTGTTAATTCTTTACAAAGACAACAAAGGGATAATGAAGAACTTTTTAGAAAACAAAATTATTATGATGCGTGGGTTAGATTTAAAACAGTTTTAGAGAATATAAAGAAATTTGTGAAAGAAATTACTCAATTATCGAACTTGCAAAAGTTTTTAACAGCAAACGCAGTTAAAGATGCATTTGATAAAAATATTAAAGAATTTGAAGAAGTATGTAATGATTTAAATTTTACGTTAGCTATTTATGATAGAAATAAAAGAGATATAGAAAATAAAAAAATTATGGAGGATATTGATCTCTTGAATAAGGTATTATTATATTATATTACTATCTTGTACATTGCATATTTAATTAATATTTGAAAAATTTGAAATTATGGGATTAGAATATGAATGAATTGAATAGTAATATGAATGAAATGCATAGTGAACAGATGAAAGAATTAACACAATTATCAGAAAAGATGAGTCAATTGATGAAACAACCCGCTTCTAAGATGGATCCAACATTAGTCCAAGCCTACAGGATGCCTGAAATAAATCCACGAGAACTTGCTTTAGATCCATCAGATAATGATTCTGGAAAAGATATCCTTAAAAGAATTTATCGGGGAGTTAAAGTTGCATGTAAAAAGGTTCTTATTGAGAAGAATAACACTATAAGATCTGATGCTGAGTTTGCAATCCTAAGTAGATTGGGAACTTGCCCATATATTATTGGCTTTCATGGTCATTCGAAAATAGATAATAGTACTGTTATGGTTTTTGATTGGGCGAAGAATGGTAATTTGAAAAGGCTGTATACGCATAATTCAATTGATTGGTGTACTAAGCTAAAAATTGCTCGCGATATATGCAATGGCCTTTTATTTATACACAAATGCAATATTCTGCATCATGATATTCGCTGTGAAAATATATTAGTAAGTAAAAAAATTAGTAATTGTCAGGCGCTTTATTAAAATAAATATAATATTAAATTGTCGGAAAAAAATTTATTTAAAAAAAGATTACCGAAAGTTATGATCCCAAAATTTCGAATTTCACGCTTAGCCGAACCGAGCAAGAGATTTCTGCAAAAATAGAGAATATATTCAACATTGTTCGGTGGTTGGCTCCTGAAAAAATGAGTCAATCACGATATAACCATATTGTGCCATATGATCATCAATGTGAAATGTATAGGTATGTCTTTTTAATGTTTAATAAGTATTACATATTTTAAATGAATTTATTAGTAATTTCTGTGATTCAGTTTCGGAATGCTTCTATGGGAACTTTGTCACCAAAAGGTTCCATATGAAGAAATTAATTCTGTGCCTGAAATCGAAAAACACGTCAAAAACAAAAGGCGAGAAAAAATGTTGCTAGATCCAAATCCAATCGCAGAAGAACTTTTTAAAATCATTAAAAAGGGTAATTATAATGAGTATATTTGGTATTAGCATTAACCACTTACATATATATTTCGTCTATTATTAAGCCTGGGAACATAACCCTTCTGAACGTCCAAAGGTCATGGAAGTACTAACAACTCTTAAAGAAGCTTATGAAAAATATGTTCCTAAAATGACTTCTCCAATGATAATTCCTAAAAATATTAGTGATAATAACATTCCATATTATAATCTTTCACCAATTATGGACGACGGAAAATGTACCTATAAAACCGAATTTGATTTTGAAAAATTACCAGAGGATACCAAGAGGTTATCTTTGGACAATATTCCAGTTATTAAAACATTAATTCCTTTTGAAAGTGGTTATAAAGCTCACCAAGAAAAAAACTATAAAGCTGCTTGGGAATGTTTTTCTGGTCTTGCTGATTGTGGAAATAATCGTGCAAAATATTGGAAAGGATATTACTTATTAAGTGGATATCACGTTGATAAAGATATGAATGATGCTCTCAAACTCTTCAAAGAAGCTGCTGATAATTGTATTCCCGAAGCCCAACTTCGCTATGCATTTACTTTGCTCGAGAATAAGTCAGATGATTATCCCGAAATAATAAAATATATTAAGATGGCTGCAAATAATGGAAATGAAACTGCCCTTTATAATTTGGGTACTATTTATATGAACGGATTATATGGAGAACCAATTGATAGAGAAAAGGCTAAACATTATTCCAGATTAGCTGCTTTGAAAAATTATCCCAAAGCAATTGAGCTTTTAAATAAATTAAACGCTGAACATATAGAAATGCATGTTATCTAAATTTATCTTAAGAAATTATAAATATATTGGAATTTTAGATTATAAAGTTTCGTGATTATAGTTTATTTTTGTTAACCTTTGTGAAATTTCAATTATTTAATAAATAAATATTTATTTATTTATTTTTATCGATATTTAACATATAAATATTTACAAATAAAATATAAAAATAAGTAATAAATAATAAACAAAAAATCATTACAAAGATGATGTTTTGTAATAATAAGCGAAGGCAGTATCAATTGTATAATAATAAATTTTTAAAAATTCCTTATTCCAACTTTGAATATTAAATTGTTCGATGGATGGTATACTTGTTACCAGAAACCTTTTAGCTAAAATCTGAAAGTTTCGGGTTTAGGATTATACTTTCCGAAACCTTTCCCGAAATCGGAAACCTCATCTGAAACCCAAAACTTCAACCGAAAC